TCATCTGTCAATCCTGCCCTTGAGGCAAGATGACCCTGGACCCATCATGTGATGGCTCCAGTAGCAACTTGTGGCCCTTTTGTTGTTTTGCTGTTTCCTGGGAGCTGCCCTTGGTACCCCAGCATTAGTCACCGCATTTCTATATGAGAGAGAAAGAACAGTTGAGTGTGGAAGGTGGCTGAATCCTGTCTCCCCACTTTCACTTTAGAGCAGTGAAGAACTCTGAGCTGTTTCCAGCAATTATGACAGTGGGCAGAGCCCTAAACCTGTAGACAGCTCAATGCTGTTCACAGGCAAAAGAGCCTTGACTGTGCTTTACTTTAGAGGCATTGGGGAAATGGTGATGGAAAACATGCCCCTGGCCTGAGGTGCAGCCTTTAGCCATACAGCTGTGCCCCCTAGTCCTAGCGATAAAGTTCAGATGTTTTATTTTGAGAGCCTAGCACTCAGCTAGTGCTTTTTCACTCACCAAGCACTGCACAAACAGGAATATTGGATGTAGTTTGCAGTTGTAGCAGAGGAAACAGCTTGAGATAGGGTCCTTGAGTTCAGATCAGCTGCTTTATAACTAGAAAAGAGGAGTCTGGATCTCAGGCTGTGATACACTCATAGTTGCACAGACACGGTAAATTGTGGGTGCCAGAGCGCCTCTTGTTATGTTTGATTTTTCAGTGTGAGCCAATTGCTACTCCTGCCTTGCTTCTATTTATCCCTCACCTAATGCTGGTACACAGTTTCAAGGCTTGTGAGGCCTTGTCAGTATTTTCTTTCCGTCCAGTGTTTTGACAGAGTAGGAGCACAGCTGCCCCCTCAGCATAGGCATCTAAAACAGTGAATACAGGATGTATCTTTCCCAATGGCAGTAGATGGTTTGGCCTGAGGCCAAAGCTGACCCTTTCTCTAGCAGTACCAGGTTCTCTCCCAAGGAACTTGAAATGGCCTGACAGCTGGGACTCTCCCATATCCCTAGTAGGAAGTGACTTTTTTCTAAATTGTTTAGCTAATTGACATGGTGTAGATCCTCTGGAGTGGGAAGGACTTCTAGGAGGCAGTTAGTTCCTTATCCTTCCCTAAGGTGGGGCTTCTAGGAAGTAGAGTCCTCTCCTTTGCAATGGAGGGGGCTATTGTGTCATTACCCCTGAACTGTCCCCATCACAAGCATCTCTAGTTTTGCCTTGTATTTTTCAATGAGAGCTTTTTCATCTGCCTGAGAACTTTTCTTCATCTTCTGTCTGGGGACAGATGCCAAGGCATCCTGCTTGGAATCAGTGCTTTTTTAGGATCTTCCCTAGTATTTTAGATTGAATCAAATGCAGTTTGTTCTGCACAGCAACTGGGCAGAGTTCTATCTGGCTGTCCTTATTGAGGGAGGGAAGGAGAGGGTCAGCTCCAATGTAGGGTCTTGAGTGCCTGGAGTTCAAGAGTTGCGTGGCTACTATTGCTGACTGCGCTCTCTCTTCTTCCATATGTATGGGAGCCAGTTCTCAGGTTAGGATTCCCAGCATAAGAGTTCTGTTGCTGCAGTGAAGATGGAGTCTGTCATGTTGCAGCAGTGGCTTTGAGAAGGAGCAAAGTACTAAGCCTGAGCTATGTCTACTAAGCGAGCACCAAGCTGATAGGAGTTGCTCTCCTGCAGTGCACTGCTATCCTCATTGCTCAAGGCTCTGCAGTTGGGAAGCTAGGTGCACAGTCTGGATTCCCCTTGGATCTAATAAAGGATTCATATCCCTGGCAGACGGTGTCCAACCTCATATTTACCTTAGAGGATTCATGCTATCCAAATTGTGCCTACTACAGACCACTAATTTTCACACCAGCCAGCTATGCAACCAAAAAAGCAGTTTAAACCCAGCACCATGTTTTGGACTGGAAAGTAAAGGGAAAATGGGCAGAAGTGCCTTTGAACAGTTTCAAACCCTTTTTACTCTTCCCCTTTTTGTGTTCCTAGCTCCATACGTCAGTCTTCTGCTCGTTTTGCTATTGAGTTGTTATAGAAGAACATGACTTATGCCTGCTCTGACACTGGCAAAGTAACTAGTTTGTCATTGTCTTTCTTTTGAAAGATTAAAGAATGGAGTGGTTTGTAGTTTGTTTCAATAAATGTTTAAACTAATTCTCCAGTATGTCCTGACTCTGCATATTCCTTTCATTCCTCTATCTCCCCACTCCCCCTCCCATAGTGCAGAATCAAGGCTTGGGGCAAAGTCCTGTTGAAGCAGGGTCTCCTGTGTTCTCCTTCCACCAAGAGATGTGGAAAAATGCATGCACGCAGTTTAAGTGGTATGTTCATATCTGTGGAGTGGCAAGTTTTGCATTACAAGAGAAATCTCCATGAAGAAGCTCTGTGTTCCCTGAGACACCTCGTCTGTTGATGTTGCTTTTCTTCCTGATGATGCCATTTTTACAACAGCTCCAATATGGGGTATGAGTAGCAGGAAGAGGTGGGCTCAAAAGAAGCAAGATCCTCGTTCTCTTAGAAGAGATTTTACTGGAGCTTTAAGTGTCCCACAGTCACTTGCTCAGCTGTTATAACAAGTTGTTCTGCTGCCAGTTATGCTGACTTATTATTTGTATTACCATAGGACTAAAAGCACCATTTATGGATCAGGGTCCCACTGTGCTGGGTGCATTTAACCAATATAAAAGCTGTCTGATTCTCTCTCACTTCTCTGGAAGTTTTATTCAGGGCCTCCTGCGTTCCATGGTGTCTATATGCTTACCTGAGTCAGCAGATGAACTGAAACAATAGCTCAACAAGAGCACTGAACTGCCCATTGTTAGCTCTGAAACATAAAGATGGCAAACCTATTAACTCTTGACGTAATACCATTAACTTCTGTGGTGTTACCCCACCAGACAACTTGGCCTGCAATTTCAGTGTCAGCATTAGCTATTTAATCTGCTCATCGTTTTAGCAGACCCTTCTAATGAATGTGTGCCACTACCAATTATCTCCCACAACTTCCGAAGAGCTAAAAGTCTCATTT